TGAATCAAAGCCTATCATCAGTGTCTACTGTCTGCAGAGCGAGTTGTTGTAGCAGTAGGATCCTCTGCCAGCTGAAGTTCCTGTCCTGGTGTTAAAAGAGAGATCAGCTGCTGATAATCTGCTGTGTGTTGGTCCTGGAGAACATCTGCACAGGACGGATCTTCATGATGATGACGCAGATCTGAGGTCTGTGAGGGAGTGATGATGGACAGGTGACCAGCTGCACCTTTAAACTGTGAGTTAAAACAACACTCACATGTCCACATGTACATAAGTAAAGTTTAATAATAATAATAATAATAATAATAATAATCTTTTTGTAGAGCACTTTTCAAAAACAAGTTACAAAGTGCTTTAACAAGTGTAAAGACAATAATACAAAAACAATACAAGATAAAAGCATGAAAACATTGAAAAGACTAAAATACACGTTTAAGATAAATATAAAATTAGTAAAATAGAATAAAATAAAAGGGATAAAATAAAGTCAAATAAGATCGGGAAGGGCTCTCCTATAAAAGTATGTTTTAAGAAGGGACTTAAAAGAGTTCACTGACTCAGCCGACCTGATTTCCTCGGGCAGGCTGTTCCAGAGCCTCGGGGCCCTGACAGCAAACGCTCTGTCCCCTTTAGTTTTCAGTCGAGACTCTGGAACAGACAACAGACCTCTGCCCGAGGATCTCAAGGTACGTGCTGGTGCGTATGGGACTAAAAGGTCAGAAATATAACAAGGCGAGAGGCCATGAAGAGCTTTAAAAGTGATCAATAGAATTTTAAAGTCAATTCTAAAACATACTGGGAGCCAGTGTAATGAAGCTAAAATAGGAGTAATGTGGTCATATTTCTTTATTCTGGTTAAAAGCCTGGCAGCTGAGTTCTGGACAGTCTGGTGTCGATCAATAGATTTTTGGGTTAAACAGGTGAAAAGGCTGTTGCAATAATCCAGGCGTGATGAGATGAAGGCCTGTAAAATGGTCTCGGTGTCCTTAAAAGTTAACATAGATCGAATTTTTGCTATATTTCTAAGTTGATAAAAACATGATTGAACAAGCTTTGTGGTGTGCTGCTCGAAATTTAAATTACTATCAAACCAAACACCAAGGTTCTTTGCCACAGGCTTAATGTGATTTACTAGGGAACCAACAGATGGCAGTATTTGATTTGCCATCTGCTGGGACCCGATGACCAGGATTTCTGTTTTGTCTGAGTTCAGCTGGAGGAAATTATTTGACATCCATTTTATAACTTCACAAAGGCAGTTGTTAAGTGAACTCAGCATTCCAGGGTCTGTGGATCTGACGGGCAAGTATGTTTGTGTGTCATCAGCATAAATATGAAAAGAAATGCCTTGTTTATGGATAATATGTCCAAGGGGAAGCAGATACAAGGAAAACAAAATGGGTTCTAAGACCGACCCCTGAGACACACCAAATTTAACTGGACAGAATGAAGAGACATAGTTGTTTACAGACACGCAAAACTTCCTATTTGACAGGTAGGATGAAAACCATTCTAGGGCAGAACCAGAGATCCCCACCCAGTGCCTCAGTCTGTCTAACATGATGTTGTGATCAATGGTGTCAAAAGCAGCGCCAAGGTCCAGGAGTACCAGGACTGAGCACATGCCTTCATCAGCAGACATTAAAAGGTCATTGGTGACTTTAAGCAGGGCAGTCTCAGTGCTGTGGTACTTCCTAAAACCAGACTGAAACTTTTCAAATAATTTGTATTTTCCAGTACAGTGAGCAGCTGTTTGGACACAATTCTTTCTAGAATCTTTGCAATAAAAGGCAGTTTTGAAATTGGTCTAAAATTATGTGGGAGGGAGGGATCTAAACCAGGTTTCTTTAAAAGTGGGTTCACGCAAGCCGTTTTAAAATAATCAGGGACACAACCAGTAGATAGGGAGCTGTTGAAAACAGAGATCAAATGGGGCCCAACAGAATCTATTACTTTCAGTAAAAACTTTGTAGGTATTACATCAAGTGGGCTGGAGGACACTCTCATTTGTGATACTGTTTTTAAAAGCTCAGACAAGTCGATGGGATAAAACTGGTTAAAACTCTCTTGATGCTGGTGAGGAACCTCTGAGTAAGAGGCCACGGGGGTAATAGAGGCTCTGATTGACACCACCTTAGTGGTAAAATAAGATAAAAACAATTCACAGTCATCATTACTTCCAGATGAGGCACAAGGAGGGGTTGGGTTTATCAGCTGATCCACAGTCTTAAACAGAAACCTGGGATTGTGTTTATGTGTAGTAATGAGTTCAGAAAAATAGTGTGTTCTCGCATCCTTAACCATGTTATTGTAGTTAATTAATAAATCCTTCAGACTGAGGTAATGGACTTGGAGACTGGATTTTTTCCATCTGCGCTCTGCTTTCCTGCATTCCCTTTTTAGGCTGCGAATGCTGTCATTTATCCAGGGTTGTTTACTAGCTTTAGACGTAGGCCTAACCTTTAGAGGAGCAGTAATATTTAGTGACGACAAGCAGATATGATTGAAGTGATCAACCAGATTGTTGGTGTTGGAATTAGACAGGTGTTGGCTTTGGCTCTGAAAGAATGCGCAAAACTTTGAAACACTTTGTTCATTAAAGATGCGAGAACACACGGAGCTTGGTGAGGCGGCATGAGTAACAGGCGAATTGCAGCTAAAAACTATACATCTGTGGTCAGATATGGTCATGTCCACTAATTCCACAGAGGAAATGCTGACACCCAGGGTAAAAACCAAGTCCAATGTATGACCACGGTTATGTGTTTGCCCTTTGACATGTTGTTTGAAGTTAAAAGAAGTGGCCATATTTAAAAAGTCAGTTGCATTAACATTGGTGGGGTCATCAACATGAATATTAAAATCGCCACAAAGAACAATTCTGTCATAATTTAAAACCAGAGTAGATAAAAATTCAGGAAGTTCTGATAAAAATCCTCCAGGCGGTTTTGGGGGGCGATAAATTATAACAAATATGATGATAGGTTGCAGCCCTCCAAGTTTAAGAGTGAGAACTTCAAAGGAGTTAAATTCATCACAGCGTACTTGATGACATTTTAAATTTTCCCTATACACGCTCACTAGCCCACCACCACGACCACTGACCCTCGGTTGACTAAAACAATCATATTGAGGCGGACACAGTTCAGCTAGCTGGCTATAGTCATTCATTTGCAACCATGATTCAGTTAAAAACATAAAATCTAGATTTGCAGACAAGATAAAATCATTTAAGGTAAAAGTCTTACTTTAAGGTACTTGTACTTCAGTGTTTCCATGTCATGCTTTGTTGCAGTAATTCTCAGAGGGAAATATTGGACTTCAAATGGTTATTTTAAGTATTATTACAGATTGAGCTGTCCAGCAGCATGTAACAACCTTTACCAGCTGGAACATTAAGGTGATGAACACATGAATGAGTTAATAATTATAATCCATTTATATATATTATTCTGAAATGACCCATTCTGCATAATGAGTACTTTTACTGGTGGGAAGTAAGTATATTTTGATGCTAATACAGGATGCAGGTTAACGTAGTATTTCTAGACCGTGCTATTAGAAGGGATTTTGGTTTAATTTAGAAATGTTTATACAGTCAGTGGTTCAGAACAACCAGAGACAGTTTCACCTCACAGTCATTTCATCCAGTGTATTAAAGGCATATTTAAAAGATGAAACAAATTCTACTTTAAACATTTCATTCATTTCACAATCATCACATCCTACAAAAACATAGTGTTGTGTCAGAAGGAATGAGTTTGCTCTGAAGAGGAACAGGAACTACTTCTGGGTTTGACTGAAGGTTAAACACAGATAAGATCGCATCAGTCAATAAAAAAACTTGAACATTCAGCCTTGTTGCTGTTTTGCATGTTTGATTGTTTTTTTCTCTGTTAAGCATCGTTTCTTCTTCTGGTGTAAAGTGCAGGTGATGCCAACAGATTTGCCCGAAACACGCTTTGTTGGAATAAATGAAACTAAATACACAGTGATGCAGGAGCTGCAGTCCTGTATTGTGAATCAAAGCCTATCATCAGTGTCTACTGTCTGCAGAGCGAGTTGTTGTAGCAGTAGGATCCTCTGGAGAACTACTGCACAGGACGGATCTTCATGATGACGGTCTTCAGGGAGTTAAATTAAGTTAAAAAAGAAAATACCCGTTCTGTGGCCAAAGCCAAAGGGCTCCTTTGATCGAACTTCAGTCGATGGAGAGACTTTTCTTCTGTTGCAGCGGTACTTTATACTTTATTTATTCTGATTAGAAACACATACTATAGAACATTTAGTCTTTCTGTATCACAAATAAACAGGAGTGCAGCTCAGACATTTCTCTGCATGAAATGAAGTTGTGTATTAGGCGGACATGTTCTCTGCAGCAGTGAAGCAGATCTGAGGTCAGAGACTCTGTGAGGGAGTGATGATGGACAGGTGACCAGCTGCACCTTTAAACTGTGAGTTAAAACAACACTCACATGTCCACATGTACATAAGTAAAGTGTTAAGGTACTTGTACTTCAGTGTTTCCATGTCATGCTTTGTTGCAGTACTTCTCAGAGGGAAATATTGGACTCCAAATGGTTATTTTAAGTATTATTACAGATTGAGCTGTCCAGCAGCATGTAACAACCTTTACCAGCTGGAACATTAAGGTGATGAACACATGAATGAGTTAATAATTATAATCCATTTATATATATTATTCTGAAATGACCCATTCTGCATAATGAGTACTTTTACTGGTGGGAAGTAAGTATATTTTGATGCTAATACAGGATGCAGGTTAACGTAGTATTTCTAGACTGTGCTATTTGAAGGGTTTAATTTAGAAATATTTATTGTATTTATTTATTTATAAGAACATGACTCTTTCAGTTATTGTTTATTATGTGGAACTTCAGGAGTTCATCCCAACTTCAGGATGAATGAATGTATAAATGAATGAAATCTCATATGTCATGGTGTTTACTGAAGGATTTAAGGTAATAAACAAACAAAACTACATCACATGTTCTTTATTTGTTTCATTTCCAGATTCAGTGTTTGTTAATGAAATTAAGGGCGATCTGCACACTTTAAGGCATTTATTGTGTAAACTATTCAAAATGGACCAAATCATCCCTGAACTGAACACTGAAAAGAGCCTGATAAAAATGATAAAAATAAAGTTCTGCTTTCATGTTTCATGCTTTCATTTACAGGAGTTTTTAACCCTTAAACTGAGCAGATAATCTATCAACACATTTACATGTTAGAATCCATTAATCAGTAAACTTTACCGCCCACATTTATGATTTATAAGCAGCAGATAATAAACTGACAATTTAACACCGTTGTGATCATTTAAAATATATCTTCATGTTTTATATGAAGTATTAAATATATTAAGTATTATATTTATTAATGAAGTGTAATCTGTTTATAAATAGAACCAGGTAGAGATCCTTCATGAGAGGAGTTGTTCTTAAATACTGAAAACTAAAATATGTTTATAGAGTTTTATTATTTTATATATTGCTTATAAATGCTACATGTCAATTTAATAACATGTTTATTAACGTCTAAATAAAATAGTGAAGTTTCAATTAAGTTATTTATTCAATTATGCTTTCAATTCTGTTTTTAATCAACACATTAATTCTGCATTAACAGTGTGAAGAATCAATATTTGAATAGTTATTGAATATTGGCATCAGAAATTTGTTTTAAAAAAAAAGGAGTTACAGGTGAAACACGCACACACTCAGTCTTCAGATAAAAATAAAGATCACAGCAGCCACAGCCTGGAAGGCAGGAGGAGGAGGAGGAGGAGGTCTGCTGTCAGTCCGTCTCCTGGAGGCCACAGCGCCTCCTGAACTCCTGCCCTCGCTCATGGATCCATTTATTGGACACTGCGGGCAGATATATATATTTTAAACCCCGTTTTGCTTCATAAGCAGCAGATAATAAAACATGTTAAGCAGAAACATGAATGTACTTTTCTAAACTCCTGAAGCAGCAGATAATAAACTGACACTTTAACACCGTTGTGATCCTTTAAAATACATCTTCTTGTTTTAGATCAAGTATTAAATGTGTGTTGCTTGCTATAAAATACAGTTTACCATGAAGACGCAGTCAGAATTTTGTCGAGAGCAACTAAAGCTGCCAGAGAAATGCAGTGTACAAGTATAAAGTAGCAGAAAACGGACATACTCTAGTAAAGTACCTCAAAATTGTACTGAAGTACAGTACTTGAGTTGCTTTCCACCACACCACTGATGATCAATGACTGACTGATTGATGGAGCTCAGGTTGGAACAGAGAGCTTCCCAGCAGAGGATGAAATGAAGTAACGGCTGAATAAACCTTGTTGTGTGCAGTTTCTGTGTGTACAGTTACACACCTGCCCCACCAGGTGTCTCCACCTGTGTGAACGCTGTTTCCAGATGTTCAGACAGGTTGTGAACTCACCCCACTTGTTGCCGACCAGAACGGGACAGGCAGCGTGTCGGGTCCGGTAGTCTCCTTCTCCACTGGGGTGCAGGTTGTACCAGAACACCGCCGTCCCCTGGAGACACACATAGCAACAAATATGACCACATCGCCCGTGTTTTAGCTTCGTCACACCGGCTCCCACTATGTTTTAGAATTTTATTATAACATACTTTTATAGGAGAGCCTTTCCTGATTTTATTTGACTTTATTGTATTATAAATACAAGAAATATTTTATTCTATATATATTTGATATCTATTTTAAATGTGTATTTTAGTCTCTTCAGTGTTTTCTTGCTTTTATCATGTGACTGTTTTGTGTTTTGTTGTTTTTACACTTGTTTTCAAAAAGTGCTCTACAAATAAAGGTTATTATTATATTTTTAGAGCAACACTTCACTGTGGAGCTGAAACCAGCGGCTGATAATCTGGATTATCTGCTGGTTTAATAAATTAATATCTCTCTGTGGATGGATGTTCAGACACCTGTTTTTAAAGATCCTTCTTGTTTCACCAGAAACAGCCGTTACATCGCTCTGTTCAAAGCCACCAGACTCCATTGACAAAAAACATAATTTAACGTGTGTAACTTTGGTGTTTTAACCTGTTAGTTCACCTGTTAAAAACACCAAAATGACTCTTTAAAATAGTTCAGAGAGATTGGAGCAGAAGCAGGTGATCAACTTGTCTTCAGTTTCAGTCCACTACACACCGACAGATGTTTTTATTTATTTTTTGAATTCTTTACCTTGTGAGAGGCTTTATGTAGCAAACACAGAACCCTTTTTCTGTTTAAACAGAAACAGCCGTTACATCACGCTCTTCAAAGCCACCAGACTCTATTGTAAATATAAAATACTGTAGAACGTGAGAGTTGTTGGTTAGTTGGTTTGTGTTACTGTGTGAACTAACAGGTTTAAATTAGCTCAGAAACATTTGAGCAGATTGTAGTTATCGTCCTCATGTAGTTGATCAACATTTCATGAGTTTTTTTCTATGTATATTGTACAATTACAATCAATTACTGATCTTTACTCTGTCAGAGGCTTGATGGAGCTGCAGCACTAAAGTGAACTGTACCTTTTTGGGCCGGACAGAAGCTCCAACATCAGTGAAGACGGTGGCGCCCCCTGCCTGTACGTCACTCATCTGCAGCATGAAGGAGGAGACAGATTAACCCTTGCAGTCAGTTTGGCACATTTTCTCTCTCACAATAATCAGTGCTGTCTGAAAGTGAAGATTTATTTCTATAATAAATTCTATAAACATGAAGATTTTAGGTTCGCCTCGAAGAAAATGTTTTGATTATAAGATGTGACGTCTCATCTCAGACGTCTGAGCAGCTTCATAATCAAATAAAAACAGGAGAGAACTGATAAAGTAGAACAAATAAATATTTACTCAGTTTTTACTCTCTCTGACTTTATGACTTAATGGGGTCAAAGGTCAACTACAGTAAGGTGAAGAGTTCACTTAGTATACGTGACTAAGTGTGACGGACCATTTTGTTCACAATGACTGAGATGTTGACTGACAGCAAGACAGACCAAACAGTGGGCGGGGCGGGCGGCGGCGTTCTGCTCATAGCTACTAAGATAAGAAACATCGTGTGAGGGTTACTGACGTAAAGCAGCCAGGTGGCGATTCTGTTTCCTGTCCCCAACTCTTCAAACGCATCCGGTTCATCTTTCTGAAAGATCACAACAGTGAAATCAATCAATACTCCAATTCATCAGAGATATTATCCTGCACCGAGTGTATTTGGTGCTGATACTTTTGTACTTTTACTAAGAACAGAGTACTTCTACACTGTAGTATTACTACTTCCTCTGAAGTAAAAGAGCTGAGTACTTCGTCTTCTCTTCTTTCTGCCAAAACTAATCAACACTTCAGAGACAAACACAGAAGCATCATTTCAGAGCTCCTGCTGCTGAGAGGGAAACGTCCATTTACCCGTCCGAAGTCAAAGTGAGGCTCGTACTGTCCTCCCACGCCGTAGTTGGCCACCTGCGTCCACAAACACACAGAAATAACATTTAAAGAGATAAAGGAGAAACATGCAAATGAAAAGTCTGTTTGAATCTCGTGTTGAACTGGATTCTTTAATTCAATTCAATTCAAATTAGCTTTGTTGGCATGAATGTGTAACCACAATATGGCCAAAGCATCATACAAACTACATAAGAACAATAAACATCATACATTTCATTAAACAAGTAATTAATAAAAATAATTTTTTTATAAATAAATCAATGAAAAGGTATCGTGTGTTTTATTATAATATGTTAAAAATTTAAATAAATAAATGAAAAGGTAACGTGTGTGTTTATTATAATAATATTTAAAAATTTAAATCAATCAATGAAAAGGTAACGTGTGTGTTATTATAATAATATATTAAAAATTTAAATCAATCAATGAAAAGGTAACGTGTGTGTGTTATTATAATAATATATTAAAAATTTTAATCAAATTTTTAATTTTTTTTAAAAAGAAATCAGTATCAAATGTGAAATTTGTGTTTAGAGGCTGCAGACCTTTTGATGATTCACAGATCATCTGATTTTAAAGTTTGAAATTTGAAAGTCATTTTCTTTTGTTCTGAACAAATTAAGATGATTTTTAAGAGACTTAATGAAGCCTGAAATATTCGGCTGCCCAGAGGACCGAAAACTGGACCTGGCTGTTCGTCAACTTTGTCTCCAAATCCTGAAGAAGAAAAGCAGACAGGCAAGTTCACCTGCAGATCCTCAGCGGTGGTGACGTCCAGGCCGGTGATGTCCTCGATCCTCTGGTTGATCTGATCCACCACCGGGTGTTCAAACGCCGTGAGCCAGGCACTGTGGGCGTGGGGAGAGAGGAGGACATCGTCTCACTGTGAGCATCTTAAACACATGATGGTTCATCCCAAGTCTCTTAATGCATCCTCGTTTCCTTCCCTCCTCGGTTCCTAAAGGAGGCTGAGCTCTCTCCCTGACTCGGACCTTTCTGATCCTCGTTGGTCCGCCGGCTCCAGAACATAAAACTGGGTTCTGGTTTTTACGACGGGATAAACTGCAAAGTTCGGTGCCGTCCCATTAAAGCACTTCGGGCCCTCGCAGCCTCTCGCACCTCAACACCTAGCAGGTGACGTGAGCAAAGTCTGTGAGGGTTCAGGACTGGGACTGGGCCCACGTGTCTGCACACGGTCCTGATCCTAATAAAGACTCAGGTATCCGTCCAGAGCAGCTCTGTCTGTACCGGATACCTGCTCAGGGCCACTTTGATATTATTCACGGTGAAATCTTAAATCATTTGTGTCTTTTGATTCACTGGATTAAATGTTTCAGTCGAGGCTCCGGAATAACTTGAGGAGACTCGGACTCGCCCTGCCTCCAGGCAAACTCCTAATAAATACAGAAAGTTGTTTGTGGTCATTTTGAAGGAGGCAGCTCTCGCGAAGATGGCGGAACGACTTCTGATCCAAGTGGGGACATTTTTAAATGACCAAATTATTAAAAGAGAGACTTGGGATGCAGCCAGAGGTTAACGAAGAGCTACAGAGCAGAACAACAAGGAAACAAGAGGACAGAAAGAACGAGGAAAATGACTTTAATGTTCCAGACAAACCTTCATGAGGCGAGCATTTACATTACAGTGTGTAACACACATCTATTAAATGTTTACATACCGATTATAAAAAGTGTTACTGAAGAGAGGCAGAGATATTTTATTTAACGTTAGAGTACTTTCCCTTTTTGTTAATCGCACTGATCATCTGGCGACGCCTCCGCCCGACTCTTACCTCTTGGAGACTCTGTAATGCGCCGTGGTCAGTTTGCCTGTCTGAGGGTCATGCACCGTGGCACGTCTTAGCTAATCACCAATCACGTTACAGTGAGAGAGAGAGAGAGAGAGAGAGAGAGAGAGAGAGAGAGAGAGAGAGAGAGAGAGAGAGAGAGAGAGAGAGAGAGAGAGAGAGAGAGAGAGAGAGTCACCAGCTGCAGAGACGCTGCAGTCAGGGAGGCAACAGGAGCTTCACGACACAACATTCAAATTCTGTACGAGTATTTATAAACCTTCAAAGAGTCGCTCTCTTCACGGATCACATGACTGACACGTGTGCAGCAGTGGTGGAAGAGGAACTCAAACCCTTCACTTATCTAAAAGTTCCAACACAATAGGGCTGTGCGATATGACGATACATACCGTAAAACTCGGATTAGCCCGGGCTTTTATTTGCTAAAATCTGTGAACTGCTCCTGTCTATATTCAGGACAGGCATTTAAGCAGGCGACCCCTGCGGGGCGTTGCAGGACAGAAATTTGTTTTCAGAGCAGAGCGAAACAGCCAAAAATGCTTTTTGAAATTTGATATCAATAATTATGATGTTAACATGAGAGGATAGATATCTATCTATCTATCTATCTATCTATCTATCCTCTCATGTTAGCTGCAGCAGCAGCAGGTAGCAACAGTTCGCTAACCTCCCTTTCATTACTTGCTGTGTCGTTTTTGTCCTGGGGTTGGATTCCTCCAGAATCGTGTACCACCTCCATGATGCAGAGAAATATCACGAGTTACTGTTGGAAAGTCCAACAGAAGGGCTGCACCGTTACGGCCAAAACGATAATCACGATTATTTATTGATTTTAATAACAATATATTTTTAGCACTTTCAAATTTAAATAAAACAGGCAACTGTTTTCACATCAAATCTTTGCATCAAAATAGTACAACAAAGTGCATCGTCCCCTAGAAGCAAAATATAAATAACATTTTACCCAGAAAGTCCACTGAGTTCGGCTGCTGCTGCGCTCCGGTTTCGCTGTTGGTTTGTTACTCTGCTGAGCAGCAACGACTCTCTGCGACCCGGTTTTGTTCGGCTGCATTGGGGAGCATTTCCGGATCAGAGCTGCCTGATGTTAAACTGCAATATGTTCATATAATTGTGGGAAGCTAAAATCGTAATCGCGATCGGTATTCGATTTATTGTGCAGCCCTATCCAACCGCAGATATTTCTTTGAATTTACAAAACATGTTGTATATCAGGATTTGAGATTTTAGTCATGTCACACAGCCCTAAACACAACAATGTTAAAACATTCGACTCTAAATCCAATGAACGACCGCAGCTGCTACAATTGAACTTCATCGTTCACATCAACGGACTTCTGATGATTTTCACGGACACACGTCACGCTCGTCTTGCTTCCTCCCCTCTGACAGGTGCCGTTCTGACGCGTCAGAGTCTCCTGCTGCCTCACGCCACAAAGTCAACAGGTAACGAGAGTCAAACACAGAAGTCTTTGACTCCGTTTCCTCCCTCATGTAGAAAAAACATTTCTTGTATAATTATTTTCATTCTGGATCAATCTGCTGATTATTTCCTCCATGAATCCATTGATTGTTTGGTTTGTCGTCACGGTTACCCAGAGACGCCTTCACAACCACCAACAGTCCAGAGCTCAGCGTTACTAACAAACACTTATTACAGTCATTCAAAGGAGAAGCAGCAAAGATCAGATGTTAACTGGGAAAATACTTCTGTCAATCCAATAATTGATTAATGTACAGCTGCACACCAGAAGATAACTGGGCAGATTTTGGGTGACTGGATCGGAAACCTGCAGCAGCCAATGAGAGTTTCTGCTCTACAAAATGTAGATTAAAATATTTAAAGATTGTTTCATTCTGTCTTCAGGAGTGACCTGTCGGGGAGATTCATTATAAACTCTTCCCGTGTTTATCTAAAGATCTTTATTTCTACAGTAACTGTCAGATAAATGTAGTGAAGTAAAAGTACAAACTTCCCTCTGAGATGTTGTGAAGTAGAAAGTAAAAGAAAATACAAGTACTTGTTTGAGGAGGCGGCGTGGGGGGGGGGGGGCTCTTACCTCTTACTGATGCGGTAGTGGGCCGTCTCCAGCACGCCGGTTACGGGGTTGGAGATGGTGGCCCGACGCAGCTGTGGAGCCAATCGGCCGACAGTTACAGGGAGACACGCATTTACACCGGCATGCTGTCAGAGGACGTCTTCATCACCAGAGCCGGGGTTAACGATCAGAGCACCTCGCGGTCAGTGGTGGAAGTACTGAAGTGACATTTATTTATGAGATATCGGATCATTTTACGTCTTTGGGCCTCAAAACTGTTATAAAAGTTTTGAAACGTTGGTTTAATCTTTAGGGATGTTTTATGAGCTCATCATATTTTGTTTCAGGTCAAATCCAAATCTGAAAAGTATTTAGTAACTGCAGCTGTCAGATGAAAGTAGTGGAGTGAAAACTACAAGTATAACGCAGCAAAAGAAGGAAATACTCAAGGTGAGTACAAGTACGCCAATACTGTACTTAAGTACAGTGAATACAGTCGGGTACTTTCCACCACTGCTCACTACGTCATCATTAGTTCACAGCATGTGTTAGTTTGACACCAACAACAGCCCAAAAGCTTTAAGGGTCCAGGGCGGAACTCAGACCACTTCAGACGCTGCGCTTCATTTTAAATGCTGGTAGTCGGTTTAGTCGGCGCCACGCTGCGGCGGCCAATGATGATGAACATCTGTGTGCGGCTTTCAGTTTGAAACCGCAGAATCAGGTAGATAAAACTTTAGTTTCTGATTGTTTTTCAGTGGGTAAGTTCTGAAGCGTAAGTAAACGCCGCCACACAACGCCACTGCTGATCGCCGCAGCGCCTGATTCGGTCTGAATTCTGACCTTCGGCCCTCAGCTGAGGTTTCCACTCACCCTGGGTTTGGCCAGCTCTTTCACCTTCTCGATCTCCTTGTCCGACACGATGTCGTGGTATCGGACGATGCGGGGGCGGTCCCACTCGTCCTCCTGCTTCACCGGGCCGATCACGTATTTCGGGTGGCGGTTGTTGTCATAGTAACGGCAGAAGAGGCGGCTCTGCCTGCGAGGAGTCTGACAGAAAAAGACGGGATGACTTCATGACATTAAAGAGGTGTTGGTATTTGAGCGTGTGCCGCCCCTCCCTCCTCACCATCCTGAGGCCCTCGCCGCGACACAGCTGCTCGTACTTCCTCCTCTCTGGCAGGTAATCGTCAGGTCGACCCTTCTTCTGTTTCCCCTCAGTCTCCTCCTCGTCCTTCTCCACCACCTTGTTCTGTTTCGCCAGCTGATACTCAAAGTACTTCAGGTTCCCGCTGGCTCGCTGGTGTGTCGGGTCTAAACAGGCAGAATCGGTTCGGTCAGCATCCTTATTTTACGTACGGTCGCAGTGTTCCAACAGCGAACCGCACTAATGCGCGCGCAACTCGATGCCAGCGTCGGGCGCCCGTCGCCTCGGCTGTTACAGAATCCGCATGGTCGCGCACATCTCGGGTCCTGCCCTAACAACGGAGCCGTTTCCCGGTGGTGCGTGTCTGTTACTTCATTTCAGGTTTCAGGCACTCTGCAGCACTCGTCGTGCTGTGAACTAAGTTAGCGTAGCCCTGATCGATCACAACTCCATTTGGAAAAGAAGCATTTTTTCAGTCTCGGTCATATTTTAGTTTTTATGAGAGCGCTGAGGGAAACTTGACTGAAGAAAATGACCTTACAGTGAACGCAGGGTGAGTTAACTTTAGCTTTGGTTTGTCTCTCTAACTTGCTAACGGCGTGTAAACTGAAGCTCTCAGTGTTGCTGCTCTTGTAAAAACGCTACACGTTGTTCTGCTGCTGTGTGCGTCGGCAGAGTCTATTCATCCGCTGCACGTGACAACACGTTACGCTGTTCAGTCAACCAACCAGCATCTCTAGAAACGCTGCAGACTGCTCTGTATTTATGTCAGTTGTTGGGCTCGTTGCTGTTACTATGCAAACAAAATGGAAATTGTCACCCAGATTCTCCGTCTTTATAATAACAAACAGCTGTTTTATCTGTAGGTTCGCCTCATTTCCTGTTTCACATTTCACGTGTTTTATTGACTAAACGTGGTTTGGAGACCAGCGTCGGGTGGCACAGACCCCCTGTCGGCGATCAGTCACGCAGTGTGAACGCCATCGGCCGACGCTGAAAGCCGTGTAGTCTGCACGAGCCTTAAGTCGCTTTGGATAAAATGAATAAATGTAATGTAAATGTGGAGCCGTGCTAGCAGCTCTGTACTGAAGGGTTAATTAGCAAACGTTACCGTGCTCACAGGACGTCGTCAGTTCTGCAGAGATTTGGTCAGAAACCAAAGTGTCAGACACGTTAACATGACAAAGTTTTTACAGTTTATCCGTCTGGACAAAAGCGAGATTTATACTTCTGCGTCGAGTCTACGCACGCAGCCATGCAGTCGGTGTCTCTGTCATTCTGCACTTACACCGCCAAACGCTAGTTGGCCAGCCGACCAATCACAGTTCTTACGGTCTGCGTCGCCCCGAGGTGTAGATACATTTTTGAGGAGGTGCACGTCAGGCGGCGGCGCCGATTCGATGCAGAAGTTTAAATCACACTTAACCCTTTAACGTATTATTCTTACTGACTCGACCACCTGTCACAGCTGATTGGTGGATCAGAATCTGACAGATAACAGAGGTGTCATGTGACTGACCGAGCTCCAGCAGCCTCTTGGTGAAGTCCAGCGCTCTCTCCAGGTCCCCCTGCTGGTAGACCGAGTAGCTCAGGTAGTCCAGGATAGAGACGGCGTCTGTGGTGCTGGACGTCTCTCCCTGATCCAGCTGCTTCAGGGCCTGAACCATCCACAGCTCCGTGTGGTAGTAGTCTGCGTCCGAGTACGCCACCTTCCCGAGGTCGTAGCAGTCGTCCACCGTCAGAACGCTCCGGTGGGAGGCGACAGAGGACGAGCCTGAGCAGGCGAGAGAGGGGGAGAAAAGCGATGTTGGGATTAAGTTTCAACATGACTGGACCTTCCTTCCTGAGTGGACTTTCACTTCCTCTCACAACAGGAACCTATTAGGACTCCAGGAAAGTCCATCAGGCAGGAATACAAACTGTGTTCAGTGGCCCTGATAATCTGTAAAGACAACCCCCCCCCCCCCCCCCTTTACGTCCAGGCCTTCTGCTGACCTGGCAGCTGTCCGGTGGCGATGGTGTTGGTGTCCAGCTTGTAGGTGTCCAGCAGCCTCATGAGAGCTTTGGCGGCTCCAATCTGGTCGTCATCGTTGGGGAAGTGCTGCCTCTGGATGGTGAGGTTAGAGACGAACGCTGAAAACACCACAGAAGAAGAACACACAGAGGAACAGTCAGCGTCTCTGACCGGAGACGAAGGACACAAATCTGAAATCTGAGAGTTTGTCTTGGTACCATCGGACATGTCGGTGAGCACCAGGCTCTCCAGCTCCCCCCACTCTGTGTTGAGTCTCTTCATCAGCTTGAAGGCGTTCACCGGGTGTCCCAGGAAGCCCTCGGGGTCCTGAGTCGCAGCCGCAGAGAGGACGTCCAGTTTGTCAGCCCATCTGAACACACACACACATTGAACCGGGTTTAACCTGGTTAACGGTTCTGCTGAACTGTCTCCCAGCACATCAGGGATTTAGTAAAAGCCCAAAAGTACATGAAAAGAAACCGACCAGCCTGTGCTGCCATCTTGTGTTGTGTATTTAAAAGTATTTTAGGAGTACTGGCAGATTAACGCTCGGTGAGCCGGGCGATGATGAGTGACGCTGACCTGAGATCTGCTGACGGACCGACACCTGAGACGTCTCTTACTTTTTAATCTGCTCCAGTTTGCTCTCCTCCGCTCGGATGTAGTCCTTCAGGGAGGTGACCAGGTCCTTCTCCGTGAACAGCAGGTCGGTCATGTGACCTGAGAACAAACAGACTTAAGAGCTGCAGCAGCAAGTTTCTTCAGTTTGGGTTGAATGTCCCGGTGATTTCAACTCAAAACGGCATTAAAGGCTCAGACTTTACCTTAATTATAGAACACTTGTTTTCTCCCTTCATGTGCTGCAACTAACAACAGTTTCAATTATCAGTTCGTCTGTAGACTGTTTTCTCTCATCTAATCAAAACACTGGAAGATTAAAGACCAAAAATATATTTAAAAATCTGAAAATATTCCAGGGTTTTTTACCCAATTCCTGTCTCAGCTTCCTAATTAAAACCTGGTTGTCTCTCTTAAAAATATATAGAGTTTTCATTAAAACTAAGTGTGATCAAGTATTTGATAAAGTACCACGGGGATGTTACTGACCCCTCCTGGCTTAGTTTGTATTATTATTTATTTTATTTTGTTCTCATTAATTAATTTCAGAAGAAATCATGCCGCCGTCTGTGGTTTAAAAACAGCTGAGGACACTTTAGTTTAGTTTATTATTTCCCACGGAGGGAGGCAGAGGAGGAAGACGTCCGAATGATCAGGAGGAAAAGTGGATTTACTCACCGATGGAGGTGAAGACGTCGCTGTGGGCCGAGCAGCAGGTGAAGAGGAAGACGTGGATCAACAAGCAGCAGAAAGCCATCCGGCCTGCAGACGAGACATCAGATATAATCTCTGTACTGACCGACACCATGCTGCGTGTCAGAGTTTATTTTCAGTCAACATTTAACTTTCCAAAAGTTAGTTTTAGTTTTAAAGTGTTCTGATTTAAGATCAGACAATTAATCAGTTAGTCGACAGACAGCGAAACAAAAACCTGAAGAAATTTACTGTGATACAAAACGAGGAAAAGCAGCAAATCATCACAGTTTAGAGGCCGGCACCAGGAAATGTTTGACTGTATTAAATTAATCAAAGTTCTTTCTCCTTTTCTCAGTTTTACATTATTGCCAATCAATTAGTCCACTATTTCAGTATTGATCCCAACAGTTCAATGAACAACATGTAAAATATCACAGAGATTTGAAACGATCTGGAGTCACGGTGACGATCGCGAGTAAGGGGAAATGAGTGGGTCAACAAATAGGTTTATCAGGCAAATTAACCTGTTTTTGTTTTATATTTGACTTTAAACATTTATGTTTTACGTAAAGTTGTACAAATAAACCTGCCTTGCCTTTTTAAAAAGGTTAAACTGTACTTCAAGTGTCCTGTCCAACTGTTCATAGTTTCTCTTTCTCCTGTTTCTAACTATAAATGCTGTGTATTTAACTTTTTGTCTGAAGTTAGAAAGCCAAAATGTTCATCTCACAATTTTAAACACACCATGAGTATTTTTTTATTTTTTTATTTAGTTTATTATTTATATCCCTTATGTAAATTACCAAACCTTTTAGTGTCACAAAATCTGACAGGTCACAGATGTGAGTGTAACAACATCCCTCTGCAAAACAAGGAATCGGTAATTAACTACTCCTGATTTTGGATGTTTATTCCTGTTATTTATTGTTTTTATGAATGGAATTTCATAGTTTCGGGTCCTGAACTTAACGGTCAGTAATGTTCTGTGTTGAAAAATGGCGGGGACAGAATAGATTTTGAGCATTAAACACTTAATTTCCTGCATTCTGGTGAAATATTCTGCACCGATTTCTGCCTTTCCTGCATTTTATGGTGAAAATGTTTTTACTCATGAAAAGGGAAACATAAAATTCAGGCGGCAGGTGACAATTCAAAATATAAAGTAATATTTCTCCTGCAGATGAATGTTTTTCATGTAATATCATCCCTCCTTTTTTGTCATGTGCACAGGAAGAAAACAGAAAACTGTGTTAAAGTTGTTAAAATCACTGACTGATTCAAGCATGTTTTTTGGGAGATTTGGTGGAAAATCAGAAGCTTGTTTTTGCTGTCTTAAGCTACTTTTTTTTTTTAAACAATGCACATTTGTTTCTTCTATATTTACATTGCATGTTTTCTCATTGTGCAAATAAACCTTTCTCAAAGCCTTTTCGTTTCTGATTTCTTGCTGTATCAGACCATTTTGAGGAAAAGTTTTGATAAAGTGTTGGTGACCTGTTCCAGTGTAAATGTCACCTATGCAAGAGGCTAAAAACAGTGATTAGTGAGACATGACAGGGCAGCAGCCGGACGTGTCTTAACGTTACTGTGCAGGAATGTTACCCGTTTATTACCGTTCAGCACCAAACACCGAGGGTCGACCTGGAAACTTGACGTTACCTCCGGGACCCGGTGCTGTTTTACAGCAGCGGAGGAAAATTCTGGATAAACCAGAGTCAGTTCGTTTCAGTTATGTTCATCCAGCCATGACAGACACACACACACATATTTTTATTTACCGTGTTTATCCAAGGAGGGAGCTGTGAAAACAGGAAATCCCTCGTCGGTTTCAAAATAGTCCAGAAAATCCCCCAAATCCCTCTTGTGTTGCTCACGAGTCAAGCTAGCAGCAAGAAATACACAACTTCTCCTTCTTTAAGGAAGTTTATAGGCGGCTGGCAAACAACGAACCGGTGCGTTACCGCCACCGACCGGTCTGGAGTGTGGATCACAAGGACCAGGACCCTGTCCCGATATCCGCACTGCGCCCTGAGGTCTTCCCCGAAGTGGACACTTGTTGGCGGAGCAAGTGCGCAAAGACCCGAAGCTCCTGCTGCGATCAGGAGAGCAAACATGGAAACTTCTATTTAAATTTGTTTTACCCCATAAATTGAAAGAAATGCATTACATTTGGTCAGTATACCCTACTAACATACATTTGGTCAGTATACCCTACTAACATACATTTGGTCAGTATACCCTTCTAACCAAATGTTGAATTCTGCAAATATGAAGAAGAGACAATATCGATACACATTGGGATTCTGGGGGAAAATTTATGGATTACTTTGTAACTCAAACTAATCATTTAATCAAACTAGAAGCCAAGGATGTAATACTACACTATGAAAACAGAAATTTAAATATATGTAAAATGGTTAACTTACTCATCTTATTAGGTAAGTAGCACGTCCATAAGATCAAGTTCTCAAGATCCCGACCATCATTCAAATGATTTATAACAGAATTCAGAATTCATTGTGAGTCTATCCAATTAATAAATGACAGTAAATGTGCCTATACAATTGATTTTGTTACAGGAACTATCTATAGAAATGTAATGTTTATACTGCCTTTAGCAATATGCCAATACTTCCTTTTTGCACCTTATTTTTCTCTACATTTATATTTTCATTTGTTATTCCTATAGTTTATATGTTTTCCTTAAATTATTTATGATGTTATTTTTACAGAAGTGTAATACCTTATATAGTGATGGTTTTTTATGTTCAATGATGGAAGATAGGCCTGCCTGTTGTGATGCCTAACCTTGTTAACTTGTTGTGAACCACATAAAGATTTTCAGTTTGCGGTACTCCTGCTAAAATTGATCATTGAAACTCACCACCAGTTTCTTACCAGAAGAATTAGGTATATTCTGATCAAAAACGATTTTCACTTACACTTAAAAAGAAATTTCTTCTTCATTTGTTTACGCTCTTGTCGGCTTCCTTTTTTCCGGTGTCCAACCAGCACCATAGCAACCGTTTTGCTCCCCCATTGGTTAGCTGTTCGAAACGTCACAACACTACAAGGATTCTGAGTAAGAGCCCATAGGAAAGTGAGGTCTGATGCGCACTTGCGAAAGGGGTGCCTTAAGTGCGCAGATGATCACCCCTGGAGAATAGCATTAGAGGATCGGGACACCCTACGGTCTTGGACCCCTTAGCGAGAACGTGCATTGAGGGGCACAAAGGTGGAAGTGCAGATATTGGGACAGGGCCTACTTATGCTGCGTTCCAGGAAACTAGGAAGTGGGAAATTTCCGAACTCCAACTACAAAAACTACCCTGGAATGCGTACATTGATGTAGAAATATGTAAAGTAAATAATCTCATAAAGTCATCTTCTCTCCATAAGAGTTATTGTTAAAAAATGCCTAAACATTAGGAAGGGTAACCTACAACGCTGACTTGTGGATTGCCAACTGATGTAGCTACAGGGGTACACAGTTAACCTGTTAACCAGTTAATACTTTTAAATAACACCTAAAGCACTGCTGAGGGTGCAACTGTGTGTACACTTTGTCACGGCCAGCCACTTTCGGCGTCATGCACCAGCACCACCATGCACCTGGAACGCTTTGAGGTTGGAAGTCGGATATTTCAAGTTGGAAATTTCCCAGTTCCGAGCAGTCTGGAACGCGGCATTAGGCCAGGGGTTTTCAAAGTCTGAGACTGTGGGCCTCTCCTCATACAAAGCTTGGTAAATTTTGCTCGATTCCTGGATGTCTGTGAGATCATCATTATATTATCTGATCCCATAGACGCTCAACATTTGAGCCAAAATAGCCTAACATTGCTGTTTGACATAACGTCTGACTGCACCAAATAGTTTTAAAAAAGCTCTGTCCTAAGCCATTTATTAATTTCTGACACTGATGGGGGGCAAACAGTGCCCAAAAATTACTGTATCTCTGTAGGCTATTTTATGCAATCTCCTTTTGATAACTAATGCAATAAGTAATGTAATATTGTTTCATTTCCATTCACTGAGCCTCCCCTGAAACTGTTTGGAGCCCACCTCGGGAGGCCCACCTCACACTTTGAAAAGCCCTGACTTAGACCAAACAGAACAAAACAAACAAAACAAAAAGTAAGACTCAGATCCCGTCAATCATATTGATTTGAGTTCTTGAGTTCTTTCTAAAGATTTCTATTAAACCAAAATGTATTCTTTATACCTTCCAAGGTTTTCCCTCATACTTCTGACAGTATGACGTGTTCGACCGTCTCTTGTTGCCCACAGTATTCACACCTGCCTGTGTTATGTTTACCTATTTTGAATCAAGTGCTGTTGACTCCTGTGTGCCCAAATCTAAATCCTGATATAAGTGTCCTGTTCCTTCTTGCACATCTCATTTCTCCTACTCTTCTCAGAATTTTGTAAAACCACTGTCCTTTCCTCTCTTCCTCCCATTGCTTTTGACACCGTTTCTTCAGTCTCATTTCATAATGCTCTTTATTTCTATCTTACTGGTGCTAACTGCCACATCGACGTCTTCTCTTTTTGTTGCCTCCTTTGCAGCCTTATCTGCCATTTTGTTTCCTTTCATGCCAATGTGTCCGGGATTTGTTGTTTTTTTATCCTGTAATTCTATCAAAATATGTGGTCTGCCGTCTGAGTGCTCTGTAAACTGATTAGTGATGAACTTGAATCTGAACAAATAATCACTCTCAATCTCACTCTCTATCCAATGCACTGCTAACAAAATGGCGTGCATTTCTCCTGTGTTCACTGATACTTCATCACTAATCCTCTTCCCTATTGTAAGACGAAACTCTGGAACAATAAAAGCTACTCCTATCTTATTTACTAAAGTCTTTGATGCATTTGTGTAGATCTGAATGTAACTGTGGTAACTATTAATATATGCCTGTACAGTATGTGAATTCAAAATAAACTCCCGTTACCGCCACTTGATGGACTGGAGATAAAACTAACAGGTACCTGAGAGAGTGTAAAGAGTGGTAGAGACATAAAAGCAAAATAATTAAAGCTTTAGAAAGTTTAATTTCTGATGCTGTACAGATTTATGAAGCTCTATTTTTCACTGACTGCCTTCAATGTAAACTGCTATTAGCTTAAACCATTCTTTAACTGTGTTGAAATAAATCACTTTGCTTTTATCTTTTTTGGTAACCCACAATACCACCACGATTCCACATGAACTGCGGTCCCTCGCTTTGGATAAAAGTGTCAGCTAAATGAATAAATCTACATTTTTTATGTAGCCCCAGTAGACCAATTGTCAGCGGAAATGGATCTTTTGAAGAGAACATCTGAAGCGAAAACCTCACATGATGTAAGGAACCAGTTCCTTTTTAAATGTACATGTTATTAAACAAAATATGGGTAATGTTGGCTGTGCTCTCATGTGATCCATTGTATTCATTGCTTCTAAAAGTATTAAAATTATCTTTTATTTTAGGATTCAGTTGGACCCGACAATATTGAGGGATATGGCGCTGTGCAGGACTTGGCAGAGATTTTGGTTGGCCTCAGAGATCACTGTCTTGCCTTGACTGGAGAAGAATGAGAGCATGAGACTCTTAATCTCAGGGTCGTAGGTTCAAGCCGCATGTTGGGCGTCTTCCTATTAAATCAATCTGTGGGGACTTGGCTTAGGAGTAAAGACTTGCTGGATTGAGCCCCCTGAGCAATGCTCTGAAAACGTCACTGCTCCCTTGACGCTGTACAATGTCTGCCCACTCTTGGATTGGTTAAATCCAGAAGCCTAAATTGAGGGAGCATTAGCAAGGCCCTGGACCCCTAACATTTGGCCCACACTATAATTCTATGTGACTCAAAGATTATCATTTACTCTTTTTACTATCTTCTCCCTTATGAAATTGAAGTTAAGGGATAATTAGCAAACTCAGGGTCGAGCCCCACGTTGGGCGCATTCCTATCGGGGCAGAATTAGCTCAATCCATGGGGACTTGGCTTAGGAGTAAAGATTTTCTGGTTGGAGCCCCCTGAGCAACGCTCTGAAAACGTCACTGCTCCCTTGACGCTGTACAATGCCTACCCATTCTAGGATTGGTTAAATCCAGAGGCCTAAATTGAGGGAGCATTAGCAAGGCCCTGGACCCGTAACTGCTGCCTGGGTGCTTTAAAGTGGCAGCCCATTCAAGGATGGGTTAAATGCACAGCCTCAAATTTGCATTTGGCCCACACTATAATTCTATGTGACACAAAGTTTATCATTTACTCTTTTTACTATCTTCTCCCTTACGAAATTGTATCATGAGAGATTACAGGTTGTTTGAGAATTGAAGGGCTTACACTTGGACTGACGTAGCCCGGCTAGCTCAGTCGGTAGAGCATGAGACTCTTAATCTCAGGGTCGTGGGTTCGAGCCCCACGTTGGGCGTCTTCCTATTAGCTCAATCCGTGGGGACTTGGCTTGGGAGTAAAGACTTGCTGGATTGAGCCCCCTGAGCAACGCTCTGAAAACGTAACTCTTCACGGTAAAATGTCTGCCCACTCTTGGATTGGTTAAATCCAGAGGCCTAAATTGAGGGAGCATTAGCAAGGCCCTGGACCCCTAAAATTTGGCCCACACTATAATTCAATGTGACTCAAAGTTTATCATTTACTCTTTTTACTATCTTCTCCCTTACGAAATTGAAGTTAAGGGATAATTAGCAAACTCAGGGTCGAGCCCCACGTTGGGCGCATTCCTATCGGGGCAGCATTAGCTCAATCCATGGGGACTTGGCTTAGGAGTAAAGATTTTCTGGTTGGAGCCCCCTGAGCAACGCTCTGAAAATGTCACTGCTCCCTTGACGCTGTACAATGCATACCCATTCTAGGATTGGTTAAATCCAGAGGCCTAAATTGAGGGAGCATTAGCAAGGCCCTGGACCCGTAACTGCTCCCTGGGTGCT